GACACTGTGTCCCCCCAGGTGTCCCCAGCCGTCCCCAGCCGTCCCAGCTGTCCCCAGGTGTCCCCAGCTGTCCCAGGTATATCCCCAGGTGTGTCCCCAGGTGTCCCCAAGTGTCCCCACCTGTCCCCAGGTGTCCCCAGCTGTCCCCAGGTGTCCCAGGTGTCCCGCGCTCACCTTGTGCATGAACACCAGCGCCCTCTCGTGGACGGCGTTGGCCTCCTCGAAGGCCGGGTCCGAGGGACAGCGACCTTTGACCTGCGCCCGGCGCTGCCGCAGGTACTGGTACCACAGCTTGTAGCTGGGAGGGGGACACGGGGGTCACCTGGGGTCACCTGAGTCACCCGGGGCACCTGGGGTCACCGGGGTCACCTGGGGTCAGCTGTGACACCTGGGGTCACCTGGGGTCACCTGTGACACCTGGCACAGGTACTGGTACCCCAGCTTGTAACTGGAATGGGGACAGAGGGGTCACCGGGGTCACCTGGGGTTACCTGTGACACCTGGGGTCACCTGGGGTCACCTGGGGCACCTGGGGTCACCTGGGGCACCTGTGACACCTGGCACAGGTACTGGTACCACAGCTTGTAACTGGGAGGGGGACAGAGGGGTCACCTGGGGTCAGCGGGGTCACCTGGGGTCACCTGGGGTCACCTGGGTCACCTGGGGTCACCTGGGGCACCTGGGGTCACCTGGGGTCACCTGGGCCACCTGGGGTCACTTGGGGACACCTGGGTCACCTGGGGTCACCTGGGGTCACCTGGGGTCACCTGGGGTCACCTGTGTCACCTGGCACAGGTACTGGTACCACAGCTTGTAGCTGGGGACAGGTGGCACCTGGGTCACCTGGCACACCTGGAGCACCTCTATCATTCCTGTCACCTGTGTCTCTCCTGTCACCTGTGCCCCCTAACACTGTCACCTGTGCCACCCCTCACCTGGCCGCCCCGTCACCTGCTGTCACCTGTCGGGACCCGCTGTCCCTGTCCCCACCTGCCCGCACAGGGCACCCAGGTGCTCCCTGTGCCCCCAGGTGTGCCCGGGTGTGCCCCAGGTGTATCCCAATGCACCCAGGTGTATCCCAGGTGTGCCCCAGGTGTGCCCCAGGTGTGCCCAGGTGTAGCCCAGGTGTGCCCCAGGTGTATCCCAATGTACCCAGGTGTGCCCCAGGTGTACCCCAGGTGTACCCCAGGTGTGCCCCAGGTGTGCCCAGGTGTGCCCAAGTCGATCCCAGGTGTCCTCCAGATGTGCTCAGGTGGACCCCAGGTGCTCCCAGCTGCATTTCCAGAGCCTCCAGGTGCCCCAGCCCTGCCCCCAGATGCCCTCAGGTGTATCCCAAGTGCCCCAGGTGCCCCCCAGCCCTCCCAGGTGCCCCCCAGCCCCCCCAGGTGCCCTCAGGTGTATCCCAGGTGCCACAGATGCCCTGAGGTGTATCCCAAGTGCCCCCAGCACCCCCCAGATTCCCCCAGGTGCCCCAGAAGCCCTCAGATGTATTCCAGGTGCCCCCCAGATGCCCGTAGGTGCCCCCCAGGTGTACCCCAGCTGCCCCCAGCACCCCCCAACGTTCCCTCAGGTATATCCCAGGTGCCCCCCAGAAACTGCAGGTGCCCTCAGGTTCATCCCAGATGCCCTCAGGTGTATCCCAGGTGACACAGGTGCCCTCAGGTGCATCCCAAGTGTCCCCAGATGCACCTCAAGTGCCCCCCAGGTACTGCTCAGATGCCCCCGAGGCGCTCCTGAGGTGCCCCCAGGCCCCCCCAGATGCCCTCCAGGTGCCCTCAGATGTATCCCAGGTGCCCCCAGATACCTGCAGGTGCCCCCAGGTGACCTCAGGTGCCTCCCAGGTCTCCCCAGGTGTATCCCAGGTGCCCCGCAGGTGCCCCCAGCCCCCCCCACAAGCACCCTAGATGCCCTCTAGATGCCCCTCAGGTGTATCCCAGGTGCCCCCAGCCCTCCCAGGTGCCCCCGAGGTACCTTCAGGTGCATCCCAAGTGCCCCCAGGTGTCCCTAGCCCTCCCCCAGATGCCCTCAGGTGTATCCCAGGTGCCCCCAGCCCTCCCAGGTGCCCCCGAGGTACCTTCAGGTGCATCCCAAGTGCCCCCAGGTGTCCCTAGCCCTCCCCCAGATGCCCTCAGGTGCATCCCAGGTGCCCCCAGCCCCCCCCAGATGTTCCCCAGGTGCCCCCAGGTGTATCCCAGGTGCCCCCCAGCCCCCCAGGTGCCCCCAGCCCCCCCCAGATGCCCTCAGGTGTATCCCAGGTGCCCCCCAGGTGCCCCCCAGCCCCCCAGATGCCCTCAGGTGTATCCCAGGTGCCCCCTGCCCCCCCAGGTGACTTCAGGTACATCCCAAGAGCCCCCCAGGTGCTGCCCAGATGCCCCTGAGGTGCTCCTGAGGCGCCCCCAGCCCCCCCCAGGTGTATCCCAGGTGCCCCCAGCCCCTCAAGGTGCCCTCAGGTGCCCCCCAGGTGCCCCCCAGCTCCCCCAGATGCCCCTCAGGTGTATCCCAGGTGCCCTCAGGTGTATCCCAGGTGCCCCCAGCCCCCCCAGATGCCCCTCAGGTGCCCCCCAGGTGCCCTCAGGTGTATCCCAGGTGCCCCCAGCCCTCCCAGGTGCCCCCCAGGTACCTTCAGGTGTATCCCAAGATGCCCCCAGCCTCCCCAAGTGCCCCCAGGTGCCCCTAGCCCTCCCCCAGATGTCCTCAGGTGCATCCCAGGTGCCCCAGGTGCCCTCAGATGTATCCCAGGTGCCCCGCAGGTGCCCCCAGCCCCCCCCACAAGCACCCCAGATGCCCTCCAGATGCCCCTCAGGTGTATCCCAAGTGCCCCCAGCCCCCTCCAGATGCCCCCCAGGTGCCCTCAGGTGTATCCCAGGTGTCCCCCAGATGCCCTCAGGTGTATCCCAGGTGCCCTTAGGTGCATCCCAAGTGCTGCCCAGGTGCCCCCAGGTGCCCTCAGGTGTATCCCAGGTGCCCTCAGGTCTATCCCAGGTGCCCCCAGGTGCCCCCAGCCCCCCCAGGTGCCCTCAGGTGCATCCCAGGTGCCCCAGATGCCCTCAGGTGCTGCCCAAGTGTCCCCAGATGCACCTCAAGTGCCCCCCAAGTGCTGCCCAGATGCCCCTGAGGTGCTCCTGAGGTGGCCCCAGACCCCCAGATGTCCTCAGGTGTATCCCAGGTGCCCTCAGGTGTATCCCAGGTGTGCCCAGCCCCCCCAGATGCCCTCAGGTGCCCCCCAGATGCCCTCAGGTGCCCCCCAGATGCCTTCAGGTGTATCCCAGGTGCCCCCAGGTGTATCCCAGGTGCCCCCCAGATGCCCCCCAGATGCCCCCCAGCCCCCCCCGTGCCCGTACCTGCCGGGCAGCTCCCTCAGGGCTCTCTCGTAGATCTGGTTGAGGCGGGGCCGGGGCCCGCGCTGCCGGGCCTGAGCGTAGCGGAGCCAGCCCCGCACCGAGAAGGGGTTCCTGAGGAGCTCCTCCTCGTGCTGCACCTCCTCCTCCTCCTGGGGGGACATTGGGGACACTGAGGGGACACTGAGGGGACACCCAGAAGGGGTTCCTGAGGAGCTCCTCCTCGTGCTGCACCTCCTCTGCCTCCTGGGGGGACAATTGGGGACATTGGGGACACCCAGAACGGGTTCCTGAGGAGCTCTTCCTCGTGCTGCACCTCCTCTTCCTCCTGGGGGGACATTGGGGACACTGAGGGGACATTGGGGACACCCAGAACGGGTTAATGAGGGGCTCTTCCTCGTGCTGCACCTCCTCCTCCTCCTGGGGGGACATTGGGGACACTGAGGGGACATTGGGGACACTGAGGGGACATTGGGGACACCCAGAACGGGTTCCTGAGGAGCTCCTCCTCGTGCTGCACCTCCTCCTCCTCCTGGGGGGACATTGGGGACACTGAGGGGACATTGGGGACACTGAGGGGACATTGGGGACACCCAGAACGGGTTCCTGAGGAGCTCCTCCTCGTGCTGCACCTCCTCTTCCTCCTGGGGGACATTGGGGACACTCAGGGGACATTGGGGACACCCAGAACGGGTTCCTGAGGAGCTCTTCCTCGTGCTGCACCTCCTCTTCCTCCTGGGGGGACAATTGGGGACATTGGGGACACCCAGAACGGGTTCCTGAGGAGCTCTTCCTCGTGCTGCACCTCCTCTTCCTCCTGGGGGGACATTGGGGACATTGGGGACACCCAGAACGGGTTCCTGAGGAGCTCCTCCTCGTGCTGCACCTCCTCTTCCTCCTGGGGGGACAATTGGGGACATTGGGGACACCCAGAACGGGTTCCTGAGGAGCTCCTCCTCGTGCTGCACCTCCTCTTCCTCCTGGGGGGACATTGGGGACATTGAGGGGACACTGAGGGGACAGGGGACAGCTCCTGCTCGTCCTGAGGGGACATAGGGACACGGACAGAGGAGACAGGGACAGATGACAGGGACAGGTGACAGTGACAGGGACACAAAAGGGGACAGGGACACGAGGAAAGGAGGGGACAGAGAAAAGGACACAAGAGGACAGGAGGGGACAGGGACAGAGATGGGAACTGGAAGGGACAAAAGGGGACAGAAAGGGACAAAAGGGGACAGGAGGGGACAGGAGGGGACAGCTCCGCACTCACGAAGCACAACTCGGGCCGCGCCGGGCCCGGCCCCGCTCCCGGTTCCGCCATCGCTGCCGGCTGCTGCTCCGGGCCGGGCCCCGCTCCCGCTGCCTCTCCCGCCGCCTCTCCCGGTCTCTCTCCCGGTCTCTCTCCCGGTCTCTCTCCCGGTCTCTCTCCCGGCGGCTCCTCCCGCGCCGCCATCTCCGCCTCAGCCGCCGCCATCTTCCCGCGCTCTCCCTCACTTCCGGCGCGCCGCCCTCACTTCCGGCGTCTCTACCTCAGTCCTTCCCGCCCTCCCTTCTGATTGGTCCAGCTCGCTTTCGCTCCGCCCCCTCAGCGCGCTGTCAGCCAATAGAATGCGGCGGTGCTGGAAGCGCCCGCCAATGGTTCTCAGTAGTGTTGCGGGGTTGGCGGAACCGGAAGCGCTGGGAGCTGGAGGAGCAATGGGGGTGAAGATGGAGATCCTGAGGGTGAGAGGGGGAGGGGAAAATGGGGAAAATGGGAAAAATGGGAAAAATGGGAAAAATGGGGAAAATGGGAATGGGGAAATGGGAATGGGGAAAATGGGGAAATGGGAATGGGGAAAATGGGAAAAATGGGAATGGGGAAAATGGGAATGGGGAAATGGGAATGGGGAAAATGGGGATGGGGAAATGGGGAAATGGAAATGGGGAAATGGGAATGGGGAAATGGGAATGGGGAAATGGGAATGGGGAAATGGGGATGGGGAAAATGGGAATGGGGAAATGGGGATGGGGAAAATGGGAATGGGGAAATGGGAATGGGGAAATGGGAAAAATGGGGAAATGGGAATGGGGAAAATGGGAATGGGGAAATGGGAATGGGGAAATGGGAAAAATGGGGAAATGGGAATGGGAAAAATGGGAATGGGGAAATGGGAATGGGAATGGGGAAATGGGAATGGGGAAATGGGAATGGGAATGGGGAAAATGGGAATGGGGAAATGGGGATGGGGAAAATGGGAATGGGGAAATGGGAATGGGGAAATGGGAAAAATGGGGAAATGGGAATGGGGAAAAATGGGAATGGGGAAATGGGAATGGGGAAAATGGGAATGGGGAAAATGGGAATGGGGATGGGGAAAATGGGAATGGGGAAATGGGAATGGGGAAAATGGGAAATGGGAAATGGGAATGGGGGAATGGGGATGGGGAAATGGGGAAAATGGGGAAATGGGAATGGGGAAAATGGGGAAATGGGAAATTGGAATGGGGAAAATGGGGATGGGGGAGGGGAAAATGGGAAAAATGGGAATGGGGAAAATAATGGGAATGGGGAAAATGGAATGGGGAAAATGGGGATGGGGGAGAGGAACAGGAATATGGAAATAGGAATGGGTGACACAGGTGACACAGGGCAGGTGACACAGGGGGTGTGGCACAGGTGACACAGGTGACACGGGGGAGGTGACACAGATGACACAGGTTTGACACAGGAGAAGTGACACAGGTGTGACACAGGTGACACACAGGTGACATACAGGTGACACAGGGGACACAGGTGTGACACAGGTGACACACAGGTGACACACAGGTGACACAGGTGTGACACAGGTGACACAGGTGACAGGTGACACAGGTGACACAGGTGACACACAGGTGACAGGGAGGTGACCCCGCTGTGCCCCCGCTGTGCCGCCCCAGATGTGCGTGTACCTGTCCTTCCCCGTGGCCGTGTTCTGGGTCTCCAACCAGGCGGAGCTGTTCCAGCGGCACGTCATCGACCGCAAGGTGGGCACGGACACCGGGGACACCTGGGACAGCTGGGGACAGCTGGGGACACCTGGAGACAGCTGGGGACAGCTGGGGACACACCGGGGACAGCTGGGGACACACCTGGGACAGCTGGGGATACACCTGGGGACAGCTGGGGACAGCTGGGGACACACCTGGGGACAGCTGGGGACACCTGGGACACACCTGGGACACCGGGGACACCTGGGGACAGCTGGGGACAGCTGGGGACAGCTGGGGACACACCTGGGGACACACCTGGGACAGCTGGGGACAGCTGGGGACACCTGGGGACACACCTGGGCACACCTGGGACAGCTGGGGACACACGTGGGGACACCTGGGGACACACCTGGGACAGCTGGGACAGCTGGGGACAGCTGGGACACACCTGGGACAGCTGGGGACACACCTGGGACAGCTGGGGACACCTGGGGACACACCTGGGCACAGCTGGGGACACACCTGTGCACACCTGGGCACACCTGGACACACCTGGGCACACCTGGGCACAGCTGTCCCCTCCCCTGAGCCGCTCTCTTTGCAGAGGGAGATTTTCCCACCGGACACGCCGGAACGGGTGAGAGCACAGCGTCCCCAAATGTCCCCAATGTCCCCAGTGTCATCCTCAGTGTCCCCAAATGTCCCCAAATGTCCCCCTCAGTGTCCCCCAATGTCCCCAAATGTCCCCAATGTCCCCCTCAGTGTCCCCAAATGTCCCCAATGTCCCCCTCAGCATTCCCAAATGTCCCCAGTGTCCCCAAATGTCCCCCAATGTTCCCCTCAGTGTCCCCCACTATCACTCTTAATGTCCCCAATGTCCCCCACTGTCCCCAACTGTCCCAATGTCCCCCTCAATATCCCCACTGTCCCCCTCAATGTCCCTCTCAGTGTCCCCAATGCCTCCAATGCCACCCCCAGTGTCCTCAGCCCCCCCCACAGTGTCCCCAATGTGTCCCCAAAGTGTCCCCGTCCCCCACCCACAATGTCCCCAAAGTGTCCCCACGCTGCCATGGTGTCCCCAAAGTGTCCCCAGGCCCCCCTAAAGTGTCCCCCTGATGTCCCAAACGTGTCCCCCTGATGTCCCCAGTGTCCCCCTGGTGTCCCCAGTGTCCCCCTGGTGTCCCCAAGGTGTCCCCCTGGTGTCCCCTGCTCCGTGGGGCAGTGAGGAGGGGACAGAGAGGACACTCAGGGGACACTCCTGGTGCCACCTCGTGTCCCCCCGTGTCCCTGCTGTCCCCTGACCCTGTCCCCACTGTCCCCATCCCTGTCCCGTGTCCTTGTGCCATGTCCTTGTCCCTGTCCCCTCAGTGTCCCTGTCCCCTCTGTCCCTGTCCCCTCTCTGTCCCTGTCCCCTCAGTGTCCCTGTCCCTGTCCCCTCAGTGTCCCCTCCCTGTCACTGTCCCTGTCCCCTCAGCGCCAGGCCATGGCGGAGCTGAAGCAGCGGCTGCAGGAGAGGAGGGGGACACAGGCGTGAGGGGACAGCGGGGACACACGGCCACCCACGGGGACACAGCAGTGACACCGGGGACACACGGCCACCCACGGGACACACGGCCACCCACGGGACACGGCGGTGACAGTGGGGACACATGGCCACCTCCAGGATGCAGCGGTGACAACAGGGACACGGCAGTGACAGCGGGGATGTGGCAGTGACACCGGGGACACACGGCCACCAGCGGGACATGGCGGTGGCAGCGAGGACACGGTGACAGCGAGGACACGGCAGTGACAGTGAGGACATGGTGACACCAAAGACACAGTGGTGACAGCGAGGACACGGTGGTGACAGCAGGGACATGGTGACACTAAAGACACAATGGTGGCAGCGAGGACACGGTGGTGACAGCGAGGACACAGTGACAGTGAGGACACGGTGGTGACAACGAGAACACGGCGGTGGCAGTGAGGACACGGCGGTGACAGCGAGGACATGGTGACACCAAAGACACAGTGGTGACAGCAAGGACATGGTGACAGCGAGGACACGGTGACAGCGGGGACACGGTGACAGCGAGGACACGGTGGTGACAGCAGGGACATGGTGACAGTAAAGACACGGTGGTGACAAGAAGAACACAGCGGTGGCAGCGAGGACACGGTGGTGACAACGAGAACACAGCGGTGGCAGCGAGGACATGGCAGTGACAGTGAGGACACGGTGGTGGCAGCAGGGACGTGGCATCGCTGTGACACCGGCGCCGTGGCAGTGACACAGGACACGCCTGGCACTGCCCTGTCACCGTGGGCACATCGTGACACCGGTGCCAGCCACGTGCTGGTGACAGAGGGGACAGTGACAGAGTGGCAGCCCCCGGTGGCATCGCTGTGGCAGCATTGGTGACAAAAGGGACGTGTGGCAGTGTCCTGGTGCCATTGCTGTGGTGGCATTGGTGACAAAGGGGACGTGTGACAGCAGCTGATGGCATTGGTGACATCGCTATGGCTGTGTTGGGGACAGAAGGGACAGTGACAGCCCCTGGTGGCATCGCTGTGGCTGTTGGTGACAGTGACAGCCCCGTGTCACCGCTGTGACTGTGTCAGTGACAGTGACAGCCCCGTGTCAGTGGCACAGGGGACACGTGTCCTCCCTGCCCTGATGCCACCACGGCCGCCCCGTGTCCCTGCGCCACCGGTGACACGTGTGGGTGACACGTGTGGGTGACACTGTGTGTGACACGTGTGTGTGACACGTGTGTGTGACACGTCAGGACATGCCAGGGGACACATGGCACCCCAATAAACGGCGCTGGCACCGCCCGCGGGGTGTCCCCAGGGTGTCCCCAGGGTGTCCCCAGGGTGTCCCCGCTGTCCCTCAGTGCCACCTGTGCCCCTCGGTGTCCCCTGGTGCCACCCCCGCGGGCGTCCTGTGTCCCTTCACGTCACCTGAGTGCTGTGAGAGCCTCTCGGTGCCACCCCCCTGCCCGGTGCCACCTCCCATGTCACCCCCCCCTGCCCGGTGCCACCCCCAGAGGTGTCAGTGTCACCTCCCCTGCCCGGTGCCACCCCCAGTGTCACCCCCAGGGTCCCCACAGGTGCCACCCCCCTGCCCAGTGCCACCCCCAGAGGTGTCAGTGTCACCCTCAGTGTCACCTCCCCTGCCCAGTGCCACCCCCGGTGCCACCCCAGAGGTGTTGGTGCCACCCCCAGAGGTGTTGGTGCCACCCTCAGTGTTACCTCCCTGCCCAGTGCCACCCCTGGTGCCACCCCCATGTCCCCAAGGTCCCCATAGGTGTCCCCCTGGTGCCACCCCAGTGGTGTCGGTGCCACCCAGAGGTGTTGGTGCCACCCTCAGTGTCACCTCCCCCGCCTAGTGCCACCCTTGGTGCCACCCCCATGTCCCCAAGGTCCCCGCAGGTGCCACCCCCAGAAGTGTCAGTGTCACCTCCCTGCCCAGTGCCACCCCCGGTGCCACCCCCCTGTCCCCAGGGTCCCCCCAGGTCCCACCCCCGGTGCCACCCGGTGTCTCTGTGCTGTGCCAGGCCCCATTGCTCGGGGTTTATTGGGGACACGGGGGGGGAGGGGTGGGCACGGGGGTCCGGGGGGGTCCGGGAGGATTCGGGGGGTCCCAGGGGGGTCCTGGGGTGTCTCGGGGGGTCCGTGGCAGTCCTGGGTGGGTCTGGGGTCTCCGGGGTGGGTCTGGGAGTTTCAGTCCTGCGGGCAGAGGGGGGAGGGGCACTCACGGGGTGCCCCCGGTGCCCTCCCCGGGTGTCCCCAAGCCCCCCCCGGGTGCCCTCCCGGTATCCCCCCAGTCCCCCCGGTGCCCCCCCGGGTGCCCTCCCGGTATCCTCCCGGTGCCCCCAGTGCCCACCTGCACACCCCCCGAGCCGAAGCCCCCCCGGGACCCCCGGTACCCCCGGTACCCTCCCCGGTGCCCACCGACGCGCTCCACGAGCCAAAGTCCCCCCGGTCCCCCCGGTACCCTCCCGGTGCCCCCAGTACCGTCCCGGTACCCCCGGTGCCCACCTGTGTGCCCCCCGGGCCGAAGCCCCCCCGGTACCCCCCGGTATCCCCGGTGCCCATCTGCACACCCCCCGAGCCGAAGCCCCCCCGGTACCCTCGGTGCCCCCTGTACCCTCCCGGTACCCACCTGGGCATCCCCCGGGCCGAAGCCCCCCCCAGTACCCTCCCGGTCCCCCCGATCCCCCCGGTCCCCCCGGTTCCCGGTGCCCACCGGCGCGCCCCCCGAGCCGAAGTCCCCCCGGTACCCTCCCGGTCCCCCCGGTGCCCCCCCGGTACCCCCGGTACCCCCGATTACCCTCCCCGGTGCCCCCCGTTGCCCACCTGCACCCCCCCCGAACCGAAGCCCCCCGGTCCCCCCAGTTCCCGGTACCCCCGGTGCCCCCCCGGTACCCCCGGTACCCACCGGCACACCCCCCGGGCCGAAGCCCCCCCGGTACACCCCGGTACCCACCTGCGCGCCCCCCGAACCGAAGCCCCCCGGTACCTCCGGTGCCCCCCCGGTACCCCCGGTACCCCCCCGGTGCCCACCTACACAGCCCCCGAGCCGAAGCCCCCCCAGTACCCTCCTAGTCTCCCCGGTATCCCCGGTACCCCCGGTACCCCCGGTGCCCACCTGCACAGCCCCCGAGCTGAAGCCCCCCCCGGTATCCCCGGTACCCCCCCGGTGCCCCCCCGGTACCCCCGGTGCCCCCCCGGTGCCCACATGCACACCCTCTGAGCCGAAGCCCCCCCAGGATCCTCCCGGTACCCCCGGTGCCCCGGTGCCCACCTGCGCCCCCCCGAGCCGAAGCCCCCCCGGTACCCTCCCGGTCCCCCCGGTCCCCCCGGTATCCCCGGTACCCCCCCGGTCCCCCCCGGTGCCCACCTGCCCCCCCCCGGTCCGAAGCCCCCCCGGTTCCCCCGGTACCCTCCCGGTCCCCCCCCGGTACCCACCTGTGCGCCCCCCGAGCCGAAGCCCCCCCGTTACCCTCCCCAGTACCCCCCGGTACCCCCGGTACCCCCGGTATCCCCGGTACCCTCCCGGTACCCCCCCGGTGCCCCCGGTCCCCCCCGGTGCCCACCTGCGCGCCCCCCGGTCCGAAGCCGGGCAGGCGCGGCACCGGCAGCCGCTGCTCGTCCATCCTGCGGCGCTGCGAGTTCGCCACCATGTCCAGCAGCGGGGCCAGCTCGGGGGGCGGCGCCGCGCCTGGGGACAGCGGGGACACCGGGGGGACAGGGACACCGGGGAGTGACAGGGACACCGGGGGAGACAGGGGTGACAGGGGTGACAGGGACACCGGGGGGACAGGGACACCGGGATGACGGGGGGGGACAGGGACAGCGGGGTGACAGGGGGGACAGGGGGGTGACAGGGGCACCGGGGGGGACACCGGGGGGACAGGGGTGACACGGGTGACAGGGACACCGGGGGGACAGCGGGGACACCGGGGGGACAGGGACACCGGGGGGACAGCGGGGGTGACAGGGGGGACAGGGGGGACAGGGCACCGGGGGGACAGGGGTGACAGGGGTGACAGGGCACCGGAGGTGACAGGGGTACCGGGGGTGACACGGGTTACAGGGGGTGACAGGGGTGACAGGGGCACCGGGGGCACAGGGGTGACAGGGGTATCGGGGTCACCGGGGGTGACGGGGCACCCCGGGACTTCCCGCTCTGTCCCTTATTTCTGTCCCCCCACTGTCCCCGCTGTCCCCCCGCTGTTCCCGCTGTCCCCTCTGTCCCCCCGCTGTCCCCCCTCTGTCCCGGTGTCCCCCCGCTGTCCCCGGTGTCCCCCCTCTGTCCCGCTGTCCCCGGTGTCCCAGTGTCCCCCCTCTGTCCCCTCTGTCCCCCCGCTGTCCCCTCTGTCCCGCTGTCCCGGTGTCCCCCCGGTGTCCCCTCTGTCCCCCCTCTGTCCCCCCGGTGTCTCACCGGCGCTCCCGCCGAGGCTGCAGCGCTGCTCGTCCATGCGCGTTCCCTGCACGGAGCTCAGCAGCGAGAAGAACCCCTCCTGTTCCGGGGACCCCCTTTGTTCGGGGGACCCCCCGTCAGGGGACCCCCCCTGTTCGGGGACACAGGGTCAGGGACCCCCCAAAAACGGGGACCCCAAAACAGGGACACCCCAAAAACAGGGAACCCCAAAACACGGAACCCCTCCTGTTCCGGGGACCCCCTTTGTTCGGGGGACCCCCCCTCCTGTTCTGGGGACCCCCCCCTGCGGGACACAGGGTCAGGGACACCCCAAAAACAGGGAACCCCTCCTGTTCCGGGGACCCCCCCCTGCGGGACAGCGGGTCAGGGACACCCCAAAAACGGGGACCCCCAAAACAGGGAACGCCTCCTGTTCGAGGGACCCCCCCTCAGGAGACTCCCAAAACAGGGACCCCCCCAAAACCGAGAACCCCCAAAAGAGGGATGCTTCAAATCAGGGAACCCCCAAAACAGAACCCCCAAACAGGGACCCCCCCCAAAACAGGGACCCCCAAAACAGGGACCCCCCCAAAACACGGACCCCCCCCAAAACAGGGACCCCCTTCTGCCCCTGGGACCCCCCCACTCTGGGAACTCCCCCCCCAAGGGCCCCCCCTGCACCCCCAAAACCCCGCGGGGATACCCCAAAACCCCCAAAATCCCCCCGGAGTACCGCAAAACCCCCCCAGGGGTTCCCACAGACCCCCCCCCAAACCCCACCCGGGGGTCCCCCTGTGCCCCCACGGACCCCCCAAACCCCACCCGGGGGTCCCCAAACCCCCCCCAGGGGTCCCCCCAAACCCCACCCGGGGGTCCCCCAAACCCCACCCGTGTCCCCTGTGCCCCCCCGGACCCCCCAAACCCCACCCGGGGGTCCCCCTGTGCCCACCCGTGTCCCCCCAAACCTCACCCGGACGCCCCAAACCCCACCCGGGGGTCCCGCTGTGCCGTCCGGATCCCGCAAACCCCACCCGTGGGTGTCCCCTGTGCCCCCCCGGGGTCCCCAAACCCCACTCGGGGGTCCCCCTGTGCCCCCACGGACCCCCCAAACCCCACCCGTGTCCCCCCAAACCCCACCCGTGTCCCCCCAAACCCCACCCGTGTCCCCCCGTGCCCACCCGTGTCCCCCCCCTCACCGCGCCGCGCTCGGTGCCCCCCGGGGCCGCCATGGCGGGTGGGGGGAGCGGCACCCGTGGGGCTTCTTATCCCCGCGGGGACACGGGGGGGACACGGGGACAGGGGGAGGGGACACGGGGGATGGGGGGACACGGGGAGGGGACAGCGGTGGACACGAGTGGACGGGGGGGGACATGGGGGACACGGGGACACGGGGGGACAGGGACAGGGACAGGGACACGGGGGGGACACGGGGGGGTTTTGGGGAGGGGACACGGGGGATATTGGGGGGGACACGGGGGGGACACGGGGAAGGGGGTGGACACGGAGAGAGACACGAGAGGGACACGGGGGGACACGCGGGGCACATTGGGGGGACACGGGGGGGACACGGGGGGGACGGGGACATAGGAGGTTTTGGGGAGGGGACACGGGGGGGACAGGGGGGGGACACGGGGGGACACGGGGACACGGGGGGGGGGGCGGGGAGGGGACACGGCGGGACACGGGGGATATTGGGGGGGACACGGGTGGACGGGGGGGACATGGCGGGGACACGGGGACACGGGGGGGGTTTGGGGAGGGGACACGGGGGGTATTGGGGGGGACACGGGGGACACGGGGAGAGACACGAGAGGGACATTGGGGGACACGCGGGGCACATTGGGGGGACAGGGGAGACACACGGGGACGGGGGGACACGGGGGGGACATGGGGACACGGGGGGATGGAGGGACACGGGGACACGGGGGGGCACAGGGACACGGGGGGTTTTGGGGAGGGGACACGCGGGGGACACGAAACGGACATTCGGGGACACGGGGAGGGGACAGCGGGGGAGGACACGGGGGGACACGGGGATGGGGGGACGGGGAGAGACACGAGAGGGACATTGGGGGACACGGGGGGACACGAGGGGGACGTGGGGGACAGGGACAGGACAGGGGGACAGGGGGGGGATATTGGAGGGGGACACGGGGGGGACACGGGGGGGACACAGGGACAGACACGAGAGGGACATTGGGGACACGGGGGGACACGGGACAGGACAGGGGGACACGGGGGGGACACGGGGACAGAGGGACACGGGGGGTTTTGGGGAGGGGACACGGGGGACGCGAAATGGACATTCGGGGACACGGGGCCGGGGGATTTGGGGGAGGGGACACGGGGGGGACACGGGTGGGGACACGGGGACGATGGGAGCGAGCGCGGGGAGGGCACCCGTGGGTGCTGTGGGGTGTCCATGGGGTTCCTGTGGGCGCTGTGGGTGCTGTGGGGTTCCCGTGGGTGCTGTGGGGTGTCCATGGGGTTCCCGTGGGTGCTGTGGGGTGTCCATGGGTGCTGTGGGGTCTCTATGGGTGCTGTGGGGTCTCTATGGGTGCTGTGGGTGCTGTAGGGTTCCCGTGGGTGCTGTAGGGTTCCCGTGGGTGCTGTGGGGTTCCCGTGGGCGCTGCGGGGTTCCCGTGGGTGCTGTGGGCGCTGTGGGGTTCCCGTGGGTGCTGTGGGTGCTGTGGGGTTCCCGTGGGTGCTGTGGGATTCCCGTGGGTGCTGTGGGGTTCCGTGGGTGCTGTGGGGTGTCCATGGGGTTCCCCTGGGCGCTGTGGGGTTCCAGTGGGTGCCGTGGGGTCTCTGTGGGGTTCCCGTGGCTGCTGTGGGGTCTCTATGGGTGCTGTGGGTGCTGTGGGGTTCCCGTGGGTGCTGTGCGGTCTCTATGGGTGCTGTATGGTTCCCGTGGGTGCTGTGGGGTCTCTATGGGTGCTGTGGGTGCTGTACGGTTCCCGTGGGTGCCGTGGGGTCTCCACGAGGTTCCCGTGGGTGCTGTGGGATCGCCGTGGGCTCCCCGTGTCCCCGTCCCCCCGTGTCCCCCCCCGTGTCCCCCCCAATGTCCCCCCCGTGTCCCCCCCCCCCGTGTCCCCAATCCCCCCTGGCAGCCGCGCGCAATTAACGAAATGGCCCTTAATTAATTACACCCATCCACCGCGGTGGCTCTTAATGAATTACACCCATCAACCCCCCTTCGCGGGGACACGGGGGGAACATTGGGGACATTGTGGGGGACATTGGGTAGCACTGGGGACACTGAGGGGACATTGGGGACATTGGGGGGACATTGGGGTGGCACTGGGTGACACTGAGGGGACACTGGGGTGGCACTGGGTGACACTGAGGGGACACTGGGGGGACATTGGGGTGGCACTGGGTGACACTGAGGGGACATTGGGGTGGCATTGGGGACATTTTGGACACTGGGGGGACATTGGGGTGGCACTGGGGACACTGGGGGGACATTGGGGACATTGGGGGGACATTGGGGTGGCAGTGGGTGACACTGAGGGGACATTGGCGTGGCATTGGGACACTGGGGGGACATTGGGGTGACATTGGGGTGGCACTGGGCGACACTGGGGGGACACTGGGGACACTGGGGGGACACTGGGGACACTGGGGGGACATTGGGGTGGCATTGGGGACACTGGGGGGACATTGGGGACACTGGGGGGACATTGGGGTGGCACTGGGTGACACTGAGGGGACATTGGGGTGGCATTGGAGACACTGGGTGACACTGAGGGGACACTGGTGGGACATTGGGGTGGCATTGGGGACTCTGGGTGACACTGGGGACACTGGGGACACTGGGGGGACACTGGGGGGACATTGGGGTGGCATTGGGGACAGTGGGTGACACTGGGGGGACATTGGGGTGGCATTGGGTGACACTGGGGACATTGGGGGGACATTGGGGTGGCACTGGGTGACACTGGGGGGACATTGTGGGGACTTTGGGGACACGGGGGGACACCATGGGGGGCCCTGTCCCTCTGTCCCCCCAGGGTGTGTGTGTGTGGGTGTCACGACAGTGACGTCAGCGACGGCAGTGACGTCACTGCTGCCCCGCGCCCCTCCCCCAGCCCAGCTGGCGGCCCAGGTGTCCCGGGGGGGGAGGGGCGGTGTCACCAGATGTCCCCAATGTCCCCCCCCGTGTCCCCCCCGTGTCCCTAATGTCCCCCCAGTGTCCCCCCCCGTACCCCGGGGGCGTGGTCTCACGGAGAGGGGGCGTGGCCTCACAACGAGAGGGCGTGGCCTAACGGCGAGGGCGTGGTCTCACGGAGAGGGGCGTGTCCTCAAGGGAAAGGGGCGTGGCATCACAGACAGGGGGCGTGGTCACACGCAACAGCCCCGCCCCCGCCGCGCTTTACGGCCGTGTCGCGGCGCTTTGCGGCGTTTGGCGGCGCTTTGCGGCGGAGCGGGCCGGAGGCTGCCAGGTCGGTCCCGGGGGTCCCGGGAGGGTCTGGGGGGGTCCGGGGGGGTCCCGTTCCTCCCTTCGGGGGTCCCGGCCCCATCCCGCCTCCTCCCGCTGCTCCCGAGGGCGCTGCCGCGGCCCCGCACCGCCACAGCGCTGAGGAGGGATCGGGACCCCTCAGAGACCCCCCCGGGAACCCCCCAAATATCCGGGACCCCTCAGAGACCCCCCGGGCCCCCTCCCCAAATATCCGGGACCACTCAGAGACCCCCCCGGGATCCCCCCCAAATATCCGGGACCCCCTCAACCCCTCTCTAAACCCCTGCAGACCCCCCCAGACCCTCCCTAAACCCCCCAGGTCCTCCTTAAACCCCCTCAGACCCTTCCTAAACCCCCTCAGACCCTTCCTAAACCCCCTCAGACCTTTCCTAAACCTATCAGACCCCTCTCAGACCCTCCCTAAAACCCTCAGGCCTCCCCAAAACTCCACCAGACCCCCTGAAACCCTCCTTAAACCCCCTCAGACCCTCCTTAAACCCCCTCAGACCCTCCCTAAACCCCCTCAGACCCTCCCTAAACCCCCTCAGACCCTCCCTAAACACCCTCAGACCCCTCTCAGACCCTCCCTAAAACCCTCAGGCCTCCCCAAACCCTCCTCCAGAGCCTGCCTAAACCCCCACAGAGCCCATCAGACCCTCCCAAAACCCCCTCAGGTCCTCCTTAAACCCTCTCAGACCCTCCCTAAACCCCTCAGACCCCCTGAAACCCTCCTTAAACCCCCTCAGACCCTTCCTAAACACCCTCAGACCCTCCTTAAACCCCCTCAGACCCTCCTTAAACCCCGTCAGACCCTCCCTAAACACCCTCAGACCCCCCTGAGACCCTCCCTAAACCCCCCCAGGTCCTCCTTAAACCCCCTCAGACCCTCCTTAAACCCCTCAGGCCTCCCCAAAACTCCACCAGACCCCCTGAAACCCTCCTTAAACCCCCTCAGACCCTCCTTAAACCCCCTCAGACCCTCTCTAAACCCCCTCAGACCCTTCCTAAACCCCTCAGGCCTCCCTAAACACCCCCAGACCCTCCCAAAACCCCCTCAGACCCTTCCTAAAGGCCCTCAAATCCCTCTCAGACCCTCCCTAAACACCCTCAGCCCCTTCAAACCCCCCTCAAACCCCCCCCCGTGTCCCCCCAGGTGCCATGGACTCCCAGTTCACCCTTGGCGAGTTGCCGGTGCTGGGCCAGCTGCACTCGGAGCTGTCCCTGCCCAAAATCCCCGTGTCCCATCCATGTCCCCCTGACCCCCGTGTCCCATCCATGTCCCCTGTGTCCCCCTGACCCCCGTGTCACCCCCCGTGTCCCCCCAGGTGCCATGGACTCCCGGTTCACCCGCGGCAAGTCCCCGGTGCTGGGCTGGCAATGCTCGGAGCTCTCCCTGCCCCAAATCCCCGTGTCCCATCGATGTCCCCCTGACCCCAGTGTCCCATCCATGTCCCCCTGACCCCCGTGTCCCCCCCTGTCCCCCCAGGTGCCATGGACTCCCGTTTCACCCGCGGCAAGTCCCCGGTGCTGGAGCGGGCTCTGGCCCGGCCGCGCTCGGAGCTCTCCCTGCCCCAAATCCCCAAAATCCCCCAAATCCCCTGTGTCCCATCCATGTCCCCTGTGTCGCCGTGTCCCCTGTGACCCCCTGAGCCCCCTCAACCCGTCTCTAAACCCCTGCAGACCCCCTGAGACCCTCCCTAAACCCCCCAGGTCCTCCTTAAACCCCCTCAGACCCTCCCTAAACACCCTCAGACCCCTCTCAGACCCTCCCTAAACCCCCCCAGGTCCTCCTTAAACCCCCTCAGACCCTCCCTAAACACCCTCAGACCCTCCCTAAAC